TCATCATCTTCCACTTCATCGTCATCTTCGTCTTACACAACTTCCAGCTTTCCGAATATCGCAAAAACTCCCACCTGGCCTCCTTACCCTCTCAACGATTCCATATCTTATCAAGATTTCGAATTTGTCTGTCCCAGTGGAGTCCTATCAGGCTTTTTCGCTTACAACGGATCTTGGTTGAGTGGCCTTTCCAGTTTTTCCTGTTCAAATGGATCCTCCTACAACTTGACTTATGGTCAACCAGGCGGTAGCGGAANAACTATTGGGAATAATGGAACTACTTATGGAGTGCTCANGACTTCTCATGAAGGATCTGATCCTCAGTATCATCNGACTTGCCNAAACGNAGGAACAAACATTTGCTATGCCAACGTCTATCGAGAGACTGATCCCATATCTGNAATATCATGTCCACCTAACTCTACTATCGTCGGTCTTTACGGAAAACAATTCCAATACAAAGGTTCTTCATATTTCGGAAACTTGGGATTTGTTTGCGGTTCTACAAACTCCATTCAATCTTACGTACACCATTCTTCCGTTACGTTTGTCAACAGCACTGGATCGACTATTCCTATCGGGTTTCAGCAGCAGTTGGAATTGGACAGCACTGGGANAGGAANAAATTCTTCATGGACAAACGTCATGTTTGACTGCGATAGTTATCNAGATAAAGTTGAAGGAACCGTGGGCTATTTTTTCCNAAGCGTTCCTACTCAAATTAAATCAAGTGAAAGTTGGATCGTCAACTATTTCGTCTATCCAACTTCCAGCAATCTTCNGAATGACTCAACTACTGGAGNGAACACGAGCTACAGCAAAGACAGTGCCACAGACAACGGTGCCAGCATCTTTTACTTTTACAAAAACTTTCAGGGTAGCTCACTTCCTTCTAATGNGAAACTTGTTCATAATGNAGGAAACAACACTTTGCAATTCGNAAATGGATCGTATTTACAGACTTNGAGCTACAAAGAAGGATCAAGTAATAACTTGGTTTTGTTTGAAGACAGCGACATTGGAAGCGAATATTATCCTTTCATTGNAGAGTTTAGTTGGATGTACGAAAACCCTGACACAAGTTCTATTGCCGGACNAGCCGATTGCATGGGAGNAGGAATCTNAGCAGACCTTTCTGACACCTTTTCAAAAAGTGCAGGTGCAAGCTCCCCTAATCTTCCTAGTGGATATGCAATGTACTATGAATTTTACTTGTATGACCTACCTGCTCTTTTTATCAAAGGAACTTCTCCCATTTATTCCAACGCGAGCATGTNGAAGGACCCTAATAAGCAAATATACAGCTATAGTCAGTTACAGGTCGATTCTACAAAAATTGTCGCGAATCNAGCACAAAATGTGGACAGCAAACTGTATGTGGGCACGCCTTCCAGCTCGGAAATTAGCGAAATTCTTTCATACCAAGGAACTGTTAGTGACTCCGATGGGAAAAGTCTTTGGANAAGTTCGGCTGACGGAGGTGCTTGGAGCAATCAATACCTTTATTGGTTTCGAGTTCGTTCAGGTCTTCCTCAAANGAGTCAACAAGTATGACTTCCATTAAAGAAGAAGTTTCTTACAGAGAAGCCCCATGCTATAAAAGAAATAATTGTTATTTCCTGTTCCTTTCCAGCCATACAATCCTACGATGTGTTCATTAGTTTTACATTGGAGTTCCTTGAATTCGTAGCTTTCATCTGCGTCTGCGCAATAATCGTTGTAGCTGGCGCATCTGAAATGAGGAAAAGGCTTTTTCTGTTTAGAAACTCTTAAATATACGGCTTTCAGCTCTTGACCGGAACTTGTTTCAACTATCACTCCACCATGCTGCCCGAAATATTGGTTCAATTTGATTTTTTTCTTTCCATCGGAAGTAGCACAAAAAAACGGACCCATTCCTGAAAGCCATGCACCATTAAAAATTCCTCCTCCTACGAGAAGTGGATGAGACGATGGACATTCAAAACGAAAAGATGAAGTTTCTGAAGGAGGTTTATTGTCAGGAAACAGCGGTCCTTCAGTCGCAGTTGATAGAACTCGAAGGTAATATATAACAACAACGATGATAATGGCGATCATTAGTGCTATGATAATGGTAATCGTTGTGCTAGTTGCACCCATGACGCGGTTGTTTTATTATTTTTAAAAAGCTATTTCACCCCCGGTTTCTACAAAAAAGCACCAAGGGCCCGCCTTTTAAAAGGGGATGAAGTCGTTTCACTAGAGCTAGCGGCGAGTGAACACAATGAATAAGAGTACGAGAAAAACAATGAGCACAAGAGCCATGCCTCCGTAAGCAGCATATTCTATAAGTAAGGGAGAACTCACGATTACAATTTTGAATCCGTCTTTTTCTTCAGTATAATTTGAAAATTTTCCTGTAGGAAGAGTGATTTGATAAAGTTGACTCGTAAGGTCTAAAGCTCCAGTCGTCGTAGACGGTTTAATACTGAATGTTTTTGTGACGGCGTACTTGTACTCCATTTTGAAGGCGTACAAAAATTTTTCACTTTTCGTGCACGCAAAATTCATTACGGCATTAATGTCCCATGTTGGGGACGTGGTTTTTTTCAAATATTCTTGAAAAGCTTCGATTTGTTGGTCAGAAGAAACCGCTGTAAGGTTAGTTTCTTTGTAGTAACTAGTAGTTTGATCCTGAGTATCGGTAGGAACATCTTTAGCTGTGTAGAAAGTCACGATAGTAAAACCGTTAGCGACAACTCTGATTTCTCCTTGGAAGTTGGAAGGTACTCTCGTTTTTACGCCTATGACCAGAGCAGCCGCTGCAACACTTATGTAGTATTCACGAGCTGCTGTTGAATAAGAAGATTTTGTTGACATTTTATGTTTCACCAAAGAAAATAAGAAAAGAAAGTTGAATAGAAGACATGAGTCTCGGTGATTCAGACAAATATGGGCTAAATCGATCGTCGTATTCCGACGATTTCCACCCAAATCGAATTTTTAGACTCTCAAAAATGCGGAATCGTCATAAGCGAGGTACATCTTTATTCTTTCTTTCAAACAGGACTTGGGTTTAGTAGAGACTAATTGAGAAGAAGAAGGAGCAAACCGACAGAGAAAACAAGAATAACTGCAATTCTTATGACGAGGGATTTATGGCTTGATTCCGGAAGGTCACTGGTCAGTTCGTTAAGAATTGTATTAAACAGAGGTTCACACTTCTTTCCTGTCTTCAGAGATTTTATATAAAGAAAAAGCAAAGCTTGTTGCGGAGTCGCTTCAGACAGCTTTTCCAGAAAGCACAGTTCCTCGTCTGCTAAATGGTCGTTGCTACTATCTCTTCGGAGCCAGTATTCTAAGGACTTCAAGTCTACGAAGTAGGTTCCTCCAATATTTTCGATGGAAAGTCTTCCAAGCAAGGGAGTGTTCATTTTTGCTTGTCAAACGTTTATTTGAGAAACTGACAGAAGAATAGCCGCGCTATTTAAAGACTTTATTTGAAAACCAGAGAAAATCCAAAGAAATCACCAAAGTTGTATGAATCGATGAAACAAGACAAGGAAAAATGCCACCGAAAGAATCACGATAAATGTAGATGCCACCAACGAAAGAACTTCTGCTAGAGGTTGTTCTACATAGGTCGTGGAGAGGAGTCGCTGAAATTCTCGCATTTCTGGCTTCCCAGTTGCCATAGAGTACTCATAAAGTACTCTTAGGGCGCTTGTTGTCCTTATTTTGAAGTCATTGGGAATCAGATCGAACCAACTTTCGGTTTCTAAATGACGTTTCAAAACATTCAAAAAGACAGCGTATTGTTTATGGAACTTTCCAGGAACTGATTTTTTTTCTGCAAGTGGTATAGTGTCCATACCCAGCCTTGCTTGCTTACTCACAACCAAGAAACGGTCATTTATTAAATGCAAAAACTATATGCGAGACGTGAAAAAGCTCTGATACTGAATCGAAGAAAGGAATAGGTGCATGAACAGAATGAATCGACCTGCGAGAATAGCGAAGAACGCCGCGACCACCCACACCGAAATGAAAGACGTAGCGAATAGAAGGAAAGTATAGCCATGTTGTTCTTCATTTGTTGCACGGAGGAGTTGTTTGAACTCAGGGATATGTAGTTTGCGAGTTGATAGAGCTATGAAAAAAAGAAGAGAAAGAGCTTGTTTTGTTTCCATCTCGCCTATTGGTGGAATTTGGCTGCGTCTAATATCATCGTCCATTGCGTTTTCAAAGTGATGCTTTAAATCGTTCATATGAATGACACATTGTTTGTGGAATTTCCCAGGAACTAGGATCTTTTCTACCAATGGATTGTCGTCTACATCCAACCGTACTTCTGTCATTTTTGAACCAAAAACGTCAAAAGATCAGCTGGACGAAAATACAAGCGCTGCATATAAAGCCTTTGAAGTCTAATCCAGGAGTGTTGACGATATAGGAGAGATTCTCCACGGATTAGCTGGGATCTTCGTTTCGCTTTGTTTGATTTGGGGTAATCCCTAGGGTTCTTTGGTGACCAGTCTTTCTTATAGTTGGTGACCAAATAAGATACTGGTCACCAAGTGGTTACCAAGGGTCACCAATATCACATAGGCTGGTGACCAGAGTCGGTCACCGTAACGGTAACCAAGACGTCATAGGGTTTAGTCACCAAGCCTATGAAATTACTGTGGTTTATTAGGGTTTATTTAGGGTTTATTTAGGGTTTATTAGGGTTTATTAGGGTTTATTAGGGTTTATTAGGGTTTATTAGGGTTTATTAGGGTTTATTAGGGTTTATTAGGGTTTATTTAGGGTTTATTTAGGGTTTATTTAGGGTTTATTTAGGGTTTATTAGGGTTTATTAGGGTTTATTAGGGTTTATTTAGGGTTTATTTAGGGTTTATTTAGGGTTTATTAGGGTTTATTAGGGTTTATTAGGGTTTATTTAGGGTTTATTAGGGTTTATTAGGGTTTATTAGGGTTTATTAGGGTTTATTAGGGTAATTTAGGGTTTATTTAGGGTTTATTAGGGTTTATTAGGGTTATAACGA